ACTCATGCCCCCCCCCCCCCCCCTCATATAGTTTGGAGGTTGTGTGTGTGTGTGTGTGTGTGTAGTAATTCTGCTTAAGGTTGGGTAATCGTGACAAATGTAACCCATTGTAGAGCTGCAGGGGAAAAGGGTGTGCCTTAATTTTGAGCTTAAGCTTTGTGTATCCAATATGGGTATGATTTAATGAATGCTTTACTAAGGAGAAATTTTGTAAACGACTCCTACTATATAATGAGATGCTTTTGTTAGAATTGCTTTGCCGCACCTCAGGCGAAGACTTTACTTGCTGTTACTTTTGATTTATTGCTTATGAATTTTTTTTTTAATAAAGCGAAACCATTTCAAATGGTGATGCGTTTAAACCTCTCTGAAAACAAGACTCAAAGAGTGATTTATTATTAGTAACCTATTATCTGAACCTGAAAAAGACTTCTGTCAAGCCCCAAGCTGTCCGGACCTGACTGAGTTAGCACGGACACCACTGTAGAATTTCTGAAACCGCTGACAACATCTCCCAATCTAAGAAATAAGGGCAAATCTACTGATTTGGAATTGGCTTTTGGGATGGTAGAGATGTAAATTACAGGATCCAGATATTCAGACGGTTAATAAATACAACACATTAATGAATCTTCGAATGTAGCATGCTCTACAGGCCCTTCTCTGCATGACCAATGAGTACTCACTTCACATCATTCTTAGAGAATAAAAGCAGAATATTGTTAGAATCTTAGTCTGTAAGTAAGTATGTCTTATTACTATGTTTGGGGAAAGCTCCCTGATCTAGCTAGAGCTCTGAATTCTCTTTCCTTGAAGATGATGTATGTGTAAGGAATTATTATTTTAGCTACTTTATCAACGGTTCGTCCAGCGAGCATTACAATCGGTATATCTTAACAATTCTGTTCATATTACTTTGTGACCATGACAATACAAACAAAATGGTAATCTTATTAATTTTGAGCAAGGTAACACAAGATCTTGGCAAAGTTTAACTTTAAATACACAACACAAGACAATGCTTCTTTATAAATGAAACAAGAATTTATTTTGAGCTACTCTAAACTAATGAAAACACACACACACACACACACACATACAGTTCTGAAGATGAGAGTTAACGGAGTTCTGAGGAAGTCCCAAAAGTGTAGTAAGTTATTAGTTCTTAGATCGCACCAAGAAAATCACAAAAGCAGAGATTTGGCTTATCTTTAGTTGCTTAAGATCAATTCAGCACCAGTTTCAGCAGATAGAAGATTTTGTTACTTGCGTTTGCGCTGAAAAGCGGGGTTTCCCGGGGCTGCGGATTGGTTGCTGATCTGTTGTTCGGATGACGTCTTTTGGGAGAGCCCTCGTGGTGAATGGGCGTTGCTGGGTTACGGAGGAGCCTCGAAGTTCGTCTGAGAGAGTCTGATTTTGCAAGACTTTGAGTTCTGCAGAGTTATGAAGCTTCAACGGAGTGTTTGAGTTCTGGATGACCCGATCGTGTGATGGTGAGCGTGTGAGCACAAGTTGGAGCGCTATTAACACGGCGAACAGAGCCAAGAGGGAAAAAGCCATCTGGTTTTAAGCGAGCCGATTTGGTCCATCCCAGAAGCGATTGTTCCAATCAGATATCGGTTGCAGTGCTTAGCCACGGCCTGCAAGGTTCCACTTCACGCATAAATTAACATGATGCTTCCATGTATCACCTGGGGTAACTTCCTGGCAGGTTTTGTTAATACTTCTCTAAAATGTCGTACAACACACACTGTTCAAAATAACAGCTTTTCCTTCCTTTCAGTGTTCTGCAATTATCACAAGTTTTCATTCAACACTAAACTTCACATATTAATAGCTTTATCTGCTAAAAGGGGTTAAAAAACACTGATTAAAGTTCATAGGTTACAATTTAACTCATCAAGTATATATAAGACATTCAACATATTATTTGTGAATATAGTTGCCCTTTTATAGGCATAAATGATTGTCTTTTGAAATAATCTATACGAGTTAGCGTGTTCCTTTGTCTGTAAAAGGAGAAGCGTGCGTTTTACTGGAATGTATAGAAAGGGGGAGGACAGGGTTGCAAAAGTCATGCTGTGTAGACCTGCTCTTCTTCTTGCTCGGACGTGGAGCTATAAAATTGTCTCTTTTGTTGATTGGATTATTAGTTTATGCATTAAATGGTAATGGGTATCACGGCACATCTGGTCCCTGGTTTAAACAGAGGTTGATTGAGTCATGTTATCACTGTCCTGTTGTTTTAGCAGGCCTGGAGCTTGTTCGTTAAATCACTCTCTTTGTAGTTTAAGTCATTCCAGACGAGGAAAAGTTCTCTCTTCCTCCTGATTAGACTAAGTCTACCATTGCTTTAGGGCTCTCTTGAGGAGATAAGTGGAGCATGATGAAAACTGAGACAATTGGATGCCTGAGCTGGCCATGGATCAGTTCTATGGCTCGCAAATGGTTAGGAGGGTGAATCTTTAGATGTCTCTGGAATGTAGAGCTTCAACAGCTCACGTTGGTGATTCAAGGGTTTATTCGTGTGTGTTCCACAGAGATCCTACATATGTGTGTGTATCAGTGTCTTTTGCTGCAGAAAGAGATGGCTCCAGCATGGTGAACAACTGACAACTTGGGGTGCTGGAATGACCATACTAAGACAACCAGACTGATCAAAATGCTGTTCTGTGAGGGTCACGTTGTGCCTAAAGGCCAATTCACACCACACGGACAAACACCAACAAACAAGTCTGTCAGAGTTTGTTGGATCAGTGTGTTACCCCTGTTGGCATCTGTTGCTGTTGGTCGAAGTTCGTTTTCTCCCGACTGAACATGTTAATTCTGCGTTTGTTGGGTCATGGAATGTCAGAGCAGTGTGATATGATTTTCTAACAAACAACAACAAACTCTGATGTAATCTGACCTGGGGCCTGTTTCAGAAAGGAGGTTAAGTGAAAACTCTGAGTATGTTAACCCGGAAACAAGCATATTTTTAATGTCTTACCCCACTGGCAGATAGTTAGCAAAATAAGAAAAATGCACAGTTTTACAGTAGTTTAATATCTACAAATACAGCTCGTAGGGACTACAACGAGTTACTTCCCAGGTTTGTGACATCACAAACCCAGAAATGTACATAAACCCCGCCCCCAGGAACACATGCGACAAAGGGGGCGAGGCCATGTTGCACTGTTTTTACAGAGAAGAGTAAGAGTTGTTGCCATGCTATCAAAACTAGGGGTGCACGAAAACATCTATTCATATATAAATCATGATACTGTCTTCTAACGATTCTAATGGATTCACAAGTTTCAAAATCAATGTTCTAAAGCAGTGGTTCTTAATCCTCACGTGATGTCCTCCTACTCTGCACACGCTCTGCATCTCTCTCTCACCTGATCATTAGCTCATCAGCTATTATAAACTGTTCCAATTATACACTTTATGTGTATAGACAGACATATATTTTTTCACATAGCTATGAGAAGCGTTAAACATGGATGCGCATGCGATTGCCGTGCTGTATTAAAGCTTTAATCAGGATAAAACCATAAGTTATATTAAAAGCTAACATAAGCAGTAGCATTTACAAATAACAGTGTATCTAAAGTATGAGACAACAACAAACAAAGAACATTCCATTCTGAAGCGTCCTGTAAGAGCCGTGCTTGCACAGGTACTGCGCAATCCTCTTCACCAATATCCTCTGCGTCAAACTGATAAGAGATATAGACATAGTTTACAAAACAACCGGAGCACATGCCGCTGAGGTGAGGGGCGTGATGTTCAGATGTGCACTGGCGGTTTAGCCAATCACAACACACTGAGCCAGCTGACCTATCTGAACACTTTGCGTATTTCTGAGGGAGGGGCTTCATAAAAACAAGGAAATCATCGGAGCGTTCAAGGGAGGAGTGACAGAGCGGTGTAGAATAAAGGTAAATTATGTGAAAAATTATGCGTTTTAAAAAAACGAAGCATCAACACATGTTAGACTGCACCCCATAAACACGATCAAGTCTTGAAAAATCCAGTCAACCACCCCTTTAAGAATATTTAGATACTGTAGGTCAGTGTTGTAGAAATCGGTTTAAATGAATCTAATCTGATAAATGATGTTCACTTGATAACATCTTGCTGCGACCTCTGGAAGTAACTCAATAATCAGAATTTTCTTCAGGATTTCCAGTGTGGTTGGATGCATTGATGACACGCATATTCCCATCATCGCACCTTCTGAAAATGAATCAGATACTGTATGGAAGGATGCCAGATGGAGGGGTAGTACGAGATATATGCCGTAACCACCACCACAGCTGTTAAATAAACACAAATTATTTACAATTTATTTTCTACAAATTCA